AAGGGTTTAACTATAATTTTGTCATTCAGATACCATGAGTAACCGTGTTACCCCTGAGCTGAGTTTCAGGCATACTACTTTCCAGCATTCCCTTCATCAGCGTCCCCTGGTTCCCTCCCACCCCCATTACAAGTTTTATCTTGAACTTTGCACAGCATCAGCAAAAGCAACTCAGAGGGCAAAGGGCTCACTTCACCAAGATGCTTTTTCAGGCTAAGGAATTGATTTCTGAAGGAAGCTGGAAACCGAAACTCGAAAGCTGTGACTCAGGAAATGAAGGAAAAAAACTCAAGTTCTTGCCTTTTTGCAGCTCAGGTTCACCCACTAGCAAGGGTTACAGAGGGAAAAGAAACACCCAGGGCCGCAGGCAGGGGAAGCAACCGGCCAGTGCAGGAAACGAAACTTTCTCCCTTTATCTGTCGCAGTTCATAAGTGACCTTGGCCAACACACTCAAGTTGTGTTTCTAGTTTCCTTTTTTCTAAAACTGATTCTGCAGCTGACACAAATGACAGAATGTCTCAGAGACTTTAGAAACAAAATAGAACTATGACTTGATTTTAAAAAGTTACAGAAGTTTATAATGTGCAGTTTATTTAAGATCATCATTTCTTGAAAATGCTAAATTTGACTTCTGTCCATGTTTCTTATTGAACTTCAAAAAACTTATATGGTTTACAAAATTGTTGATGTTTAAGCTGTTGACACAGTGATTGTACACCCATCCCCACCACCTCACTTCTAGTTCTTTCCAAATCCCCCTTAGTTTGAACTTCCTTAAGAAAACATTCATGTGACATAATGGAATAAGTTGGGATACAGGTAAACTAGAAATACTGTACTGCATTCTCGGGGGCAGGGGTTGGTGGGTGAGCTTTTCAGGGATGGCTCCTGGTCGTGCTCCAGGGACCTTATATGGTGCTGGTGATGGAACCAAGATTCTCCGTGTGCTAGGAAAGTTCCTCTCTACTCTCTGGCCCTAAACTCTTTGTTTCCCCTTTTTACCTAAGCTGCTGTACTATCTCTCTGGCCCCCAAAACGATGCTTTTATGATTGCTATTTTCAGATTTACTTTTCAAACTCCCAAAATATCAGAAGTCCTACTTTCTCAGTGCTCAGAACATTTTCCTGTCTCTATGCTCAGGGATTATGAGACGCTGGGGACCGCGCCTGGGCCAGCAGCATACGTAGCCATCACCAGACCCTACGTACTATCTCGTTCCAGCCCATACATAATATTTCAAGTGTTTTCCCCTCCTTCCCACTGCACAGGCTTATAGTATTATTTTTTTCTTTTTGGGCCACACCTGGCGATGCACAGGGGTTCCTCCTGGCTTTGCACTCAGGAATTATTCCTGGCGGTGCTCAGGGGAACATATAGGGTGCTGGGAATTGAACCTGGGTCGGCCGCGTGCAAGGCAAACGCCCTACCCGCTGTACTATCGCTCCAGCCCCGGCACAGACTTAGAAATGTCTGCATCTCTGGAGCTGGGAGACAGCTCGGTGTCCCAGAGCACAGCAGTCCCTGAGCACCATCGAATGTGACCCCTCACCACCCCCCCCAAAAAAAGGAAAAACAAATCAACCCACCTAATAAAAGTATACTTAATCATAACAAAAATCATAAAATCTGGGGCTGGGGAATGGCTCAAAGGGCTGAGGGGTACACTGCACGAGCCCCAGGCTGAGCTGGGTCCCACACACAGGGTCTCCCAAGCCCCACAGCCCCCCTAGAATTACCGGATGTGGTCCAATAAGCAAACAAAAAATATCCCACAAATTACTATTTGGACAACTGGCTTACATGAACCAAATACTGAATTATTAAATTTCATTCAATTATCAAATTGGTAGTACAAGGATTTCATCTCCGTTCGCTTGCCCCTAGCTGTGCAGAGAGCGTGGGGAGCAAACCATGGTGCTCAGCTGGGCAGTATCAGCCTTCCAGTCCAACAGTCTGGCCTACCACAAGGGTCCCACAACCTGGCACCACTCGGGGCGACCAGGGTCACCCCCGATGCTGTGTAAGTGTCACGCAGTTCTGGGGATCAAACTCGGGGTCTCGCACATGCTACACGGAACGAGCTACGTCCCAGCCGGCGGGTTTTCAACTGTTGCTCGCTGAAAGCACAGGGCCAGGGAACCGGGCTCAAGGGCGCGAGCTCACGCTGTGCATGTTGGTGACCTCGGGCCAATCAGCCCCTGGCACCCATGGTTCTCCAGCCCCACCAAGTATAAGCCCGAAGTAAACAGAAACAAAAGCAAAAACAGCAATTTTTTGTTTGCTTATTTTTAGACCACGCCCGGCAAGCGCCTTCCCCACTATACTACTGCTCCAGACAGGAAAATGACATTTTTTCCCCTAGGATTATTCTATTAGAGAGGGCCGCTCTAAGTAAGCCATAAGCTTTCATTTCTGACACCGCATCAATAATTCTGCTAAAGCAAACCGCACTCACTCATCAGCACTGTCGGGAAATGGATGGGCCGTCCACTCTCCAGACATTCTCTCTACAGGAAACTGCTCACCTCTGGGATTAGCATGGGGATTCCTGGGTCTGGCCTCTGGACAAGGTCTTCTGTCCTCCATGTCTGACCGGACAGACCCCTCCGCGTTCAGGCTCCGTTATCTGGAACTCTGCCCAGCTGGGGAGTTATTGGTTGTCTCACAGACACAGCATCTAGGAAGTGGGGGGAAAAGCCCAGCATCAAGTCAATCCTTTGACTTCGTACTTTTATAATCTGTTAAGTGAGAGTCCAACACAGGTTTTAATCACAGTCACAAGCGTCCACCTCTATGAATGGCCAATTACAACCCAGGTGGCTCAGGGGTCAAAAACCCCTTCTTGCATTTTCTTGGAAATAGAATGAAGTCATCAGTTTCCATTCAGAACTACTTCCCAGCTTATTCCTTGGTAAAGTTACTTACTCAGTTGCTAGGTTTCATTTTCCTTTCCCACCGAGCAAATACTGTTGACAAAACGGAAACGGGTGCATTTTTGTTTATCCAAAAGCCATGATTTATCACGTTTGGCATTTATACCAAACAGAACTCCAGCGTACTGTAGTTTATAAAGAACTAGTAGGCAATTATCTTTCTGTCCTTCCAAATATAAGCAAGGCGATGAAGCCTTTCCCCGACTAAATCGACTAAATCGAGAGAATGAAGTGACACGTCTCAAAAAAAAAAAGGGAGCCGCTCCTTTCCCGGCCTGAAGGGGAAGAGGAAGCCCCTTGGAGCACTTCTCAGTTCAACTCCCACAGACATCATGCGGGCTGGGAAACAGTGGGTGACTCAGAGTCCTCCAGCCCAGGGATTTTTGCGACTGTCCCTTCACTGAGTTTTAAAATATTCATAGCTGGAAACTGTGAATAGATCTGGCATTATGTCGGGAGTAGCTTTGAACCTCAGCAGAAGAGAAAAAAAGAAAGTCTCTTTCCTTCCCACTGGTATTCTGGGTGACTGTCTTCCCTCAACGTATTTTGTGGCCCAGCTGCAATATTTAGAGAACCATTTTTTTAAAAAAAAATCAAACAAATAATCGGTGGAACAAATCCCTTCTGCTGGTCCCCACCCCCCAAACAAAAACAAACCGACCCAGAAAGTCAGAAATCTGGAGAGGGGTGGGAAGAAGAGAATGAAAGGAACGGATGAAGAGCTAGAGAAAGAAAAGGAAGGAAAGGACAGAAAGAGAGAGACAGAGAGAAAAGAAGAAAAGAAAGGGAACAGGCAGAGGGAGGCCGAGATGCAGGAGCCTTGGGAGCGGGTCTCGGGGAAGCCAGGCCCCAAGGGCAGGAAGCAGAAAATTAGTGCTGGTCAAGCTGGCAAGCGGGTCACCGCGGAGAATGGTCATTACCGGGGCGGGCGGCGGGGCTGCCGGCGGGGGGAGGTCTCCGGGGGTCCCGAGCGGGGGCGGCGGCGGGTTCAGGGGCCGCGTGGGCGGGGAGGAGGAGCAGGGGCCGGGGCGCAGAGGAGGCGGGAGGCCGCGCTCGCTCGCTCGCTGGCTCGGCCGAGGCCCAGCCGGGGGCCCGGGCAGGGGAGCGGGGGGCAGGGGAGCGGGGCGCCGGGAGGGGAGGGGAGGAGGGGCGCCAGCAGGGTGCACGGGGGCCGCGGAGGGGTGCCGATGGGGAGGGGGACCGCAGGGGGCGGGGGCCGGGAGCGGCGAGCGGCGAGGAGGGCGCCGGGGGCGGGGGCGGGGGCCGGGCGCCGAGGAGGGGGCGGGAGGGGGTCCGGGCGCCGAAGACGGGGCGGGAGCGGGCCCGGGCGCCGAGGCGGGGTCGGGCAGGGGGTCCGAGCGCCGAGGAGGGCCGGCCGGGGGGCTCGGGGCGCCGCGGTGGGGCCCCGCGGAGGGTCCGGGCGTGAAGGTGGCGGGGACGGGGGGGCCCCGGGGCGGGCTCCGGGCTCCGGGCTCCGGGCGGGGGTCCGGGGCGGGGTCGGGGCGGGGGTCGGGCGCGGGGCGGGGGGCGGGCGCGGGTCACTCACTGGGCCGGGCCGCGTCCTGTCCCTGGCGCCGCGCACTTTCGGTTTCCGTCCTGCGCGGGGCGGGGCGGGGCGAGGCGGCCGGGGCGGGGGGCGGAGGGCGGGGGCGGGGGCGGGCCGGGGGCCGGGCCGGCGGGGCGCGGGCGCCGCCCGAGCGCGAGTCGCCTCAGCTGCCCCCGGCGGCGGCGGCGGCGGCGGGCGGGCGGGCCGGGGCCCGGGCCGGCGCGGGCTGCGGCGGGGCCCGGAGGCGGCGCGGGCGCCCGAGCGGCGGCCCGGGGCGAGCGACGCGCGACATGGCGGCGCGGCCGGCGGGCCCGGCGGCCCCTCGGGGGCGGGAGGGGGCGGGGCGGGGCGAGGCGCGGCCCTGCCGGGGACGGTGAGGCGCTCGCGGCCGGGCGGCGCCGAGACTACACTTCCCAGAGGGCCCCGCGCGCCGCGCGAGACGAGAAGGGCCCGCCTCCGGCGCAGCGCGCAGGCGCGAGAGTTCCGCCTGGCTATATAAGGCGCGGCTCGCGGCGCTCCCGGCCTTTCGCTTCCGCGGCGCGCTGCGCCCTCCTCTCTCGTGCGCTTCCGCTCGCTGCGCTTCGCACCGACCTGGGCATGGCATCGCGGGTAAGTGGACAGTGCCCCGTTCTACTCCAGGGTTTGCACTCCTTCGTGCCTGCTTCCGCCCCTGCTGCCCGGACACGGGCCTGGGGCGCGCGGCGCGGCCCGCCGGTGGACGTGATGACCACTCTTTTTTCCCCATCAGATCGACAATGCTGATGGTTCTTTGCCTTTGCCAGTTACTTCTGATCACACCGGCCTTCCGGTGAGCCGTCGGCCGTGTGGCCTTGGGAGCGGGGCCCCGCCACTGACGCCCATCTTGTTGCAGGTCCGCAGGACACGGCGCCGGGAGCGCACGGCGTGGACCTCGCAGGGGGCGGCGGCGGCGGCTGGGGGCTCCCAGCGAGCCGCCTGCGACCTTCTGCCTGCGCGCCCCTGCCTTGGGGCTCAGGTAGGTCCCTTCGTCTCTTTGGAGGCTGTCTTTCCCCACCAAGACCCACCTGGGCCTCGAACCTTGGCCGCACACGTGCTCGGCCAGCGCCTAGGCCTCGCCGCACCTCCTCTTGGGGGGCGGGGGAGGGACAGGAAGGAGAAGTGGTTGCATCGAGCTGAAAACACGCTGAAGTGGGTCAGGCTCCAATTTTTACGTTATTAAGAAAAGAAATGGTTGCCCGCGCCCTCATTCACGCTCAAGTGGATCAGGGTCTGGTTGAAGTCAGCAAGACGAGCCTTAGAGCACTGCAGACCTCTGGCTTTAGCTTTCGGTTTGCTGGGTGGAGGTCTTCCTCTGGTCAAGGTACTTTTCCAGGACGGGGCTTACGCCGTGTGTATTTGCTATGAATTCTGGACATTTGAAAGGCATGCGGGGGTGGGGGGGGCCTGGATACTGGAGGAAATCGATCTAGTTTTCAGTTTGGCTGTGTGGGACACATCCAAAGATGTGTGATGTCCCCTCTGCACTGCCCTTGGGCTGTTGCTACCTTAAAGTGTTGATGTGGGGCTGGAGCAATAGCACAGCGGGTAGGGCGTTTGCCTTGCACGTGGCCGACCCTGGTTCGATTCCCAGCATCTCATTATGGTCCCCTGAACACCGCCAGGAGTAATTCCTAAGCACAGAGCCAGGACTAACCCCTGTGCATTGCCGGGTGTGACCCCCCCAAAAAAAGTGTTGGTGGTGAAGCTTTGGATTAAAACAGATGAGGTCGGCATTGGGGTAGTAACCATTTCCCCATGTTCTCCTGGCAGTGGGGTGTGTATTCAGAATGGGGGGAGCTGTTGACAGTGACGGCGTTTTCTGGAGTGGGCGAACGTGCATGCCTGGTTGGAGGCACAGCAACACGATCTTGGTGTGGGGCTTTTCCTAGAGGCCAAGAGCTTTGTGCTGGCATATATGATGACTGAATTTTTTCCCCGGCAGATCGACCATGTTGATCGCTTTCCTTTGCCAGTTTCTTGTCTGATGTGCCAGCGCAAGCAGCTGCTTGATCTCCCTTTCCCGAGTCTGAGGTTCTGAAAGGCTAAGGTGTGTTCTCCTGCAGGTATGAAGCGGACTGGAATGGATCCGTAGGAACTCACAAGAGAGGAATGTCTCCTGAGTGACCACGTGCTCGTGAGATGGATCTGCGGCATGGTAGGTGATACTTCTGTTTGAAACCTTAGGTTGACCTCTTGGTAGCGCTCCAAAATGGGTCAGTGCAGTGATGACTTGACTTTTTTCCCCATCAGATCGACCCTGTTGATCCAACAGCTTTAAGCCAGTTTTAGTCTGATGCATTGACCGCAGAAAACTTGTAATTTAGAGCTAGGGCTCTCAGTCTTCGGTGTTTCATCTTGGCTTCATTTGTTCACTTTCTACAGGTGTGGAGGCTTGGAGACGGGACCGTAAGGTTGCCAGCAGCCTGGTCTTACCATCACAGCTATTGGAGGTGAGGCTTTTTTCAGCAAGTGGTGGAAGGAGGCCCCGCTGGCTACTTTCAGCTGTCTGTGTGCCAGGAATTGGACCCAGGTCTGGCATGTGGTAGCTGTATACCCTGATCACTCTATTTAGATTTAATATAGATAGGTTTCATCTATTTTTTTAAATTCCTTAGAGCTGGGAACGTAAAACTGTCTGTACAAAGCACTAATGTCTCCCTTTCTTTCCTAGGCAGTTGCCCAGCTGAAGTTGGAATGAAATGTTGAGGAAGGTCAGCTTCTCAGAGAGGCCCACAGACTCAAGTAGCCTGAACCAATGTTAATCAGATTTATAGATTTATTTTTTAAATAAAAATCCTTTGATTTTTCGAAATTATTCAGTTGTCTTGTATCTTGTTTATTCCTCCATGTGCAGAACAATTTGACCCAAGGAGTGGTATTTTACTGTTTATTAAAATGAATCCGTATTCTTCACATTCTGGGTTCTGTGTTAGACCAGTAGGTACTTAAACATTTTCCAGCTGGGACTCCAGGTATAAAACCTTTTATCTAGAATCTACTACTAACGGACATAAGGTGTGAGAAGCTCTAAACCTAGTGCTCCAAATTAAGGCATAAGCCCTGCTCTGCATTCCTGGTGGACTATGGGGGGAGTAGAGGGCACGCAAGGTGTCTAGGATGAAATCCAGGTCAGCCATTGCCAGGTGAGAGACCTGTTTACTGTGCTGGTGCTCTGCTCACAGGGTTCCCATGTGCCAGGTATGCACTTGAGCTCAGGCCCATGGCATGTCTCTTAAAAGACCACTCATACATGCATGTGCCTGTTAGACTCTTAGTTTCATAACTAGTGCGTACATGAATCTTCCTGCCATGCTGCAAGGAAGCTCTGTTGGGGAAAATTAAGATTTGATGCACCAAAGGAGGGTGCATTAGGGCTCACCAGAGAGTTCATTACCATCTCATTTTATCCACCTCTGCGTGTTCATTGCTATCACTGGTTTCCTATCTGCATCCTGTGTCCACAGAAGGAGCAACACAAGATGACCTGGAGTTGCTGTGTGCCCCAGAAAGGGCCATTGTCTTCCTTGGCAATTACGTGGCCTTGATCAGGGATGAGGTGAACAAAGTTTTAGGAGGGGGGATGGGGGGAAGTGCTTACTTTGCATGCAGCTGACCTGAGTGATTTCTGGCATCCCTTGGTCCCCAAAGCCCCTAAGGAAAGATCCTGATGAACACAACCAAAAGAAAAAACCCACAAAAGTTGGCAGGCCCTGTGTGGCAAGAGTTTCTAAGGAAATTCTTGGATCACTTTCAGCGGTTTATTTATAACAATACTGTCACTGTCCGTTCATCGATTTTGCTCGAGTGGGCCCAGTAACATTGTGAGACTTGTTACTGTGTTTAGCATATTGAGTACCACAAGGGTAGCTTGTCAGAGAGGGGAGGGACAATCGAACTCAGCCATGTCACTGAATTTGAATGAATTGTTTGGGGGCTGAATTATAATTGCTTTGGGGCAGGGGTTGGGGTTTGGGATGGAAACATCCCAAATACGGTGGTGGGAAGGTATTGTGGAATTAGTGTTTGAATATTAAATATCAAATACTTCGAACTACATTATACAAATTTCTAAGAACAAAATAGTTTCTGTTTATTATGCAATAGGGGCTGGAGTATTATGCAATAGGTGATTAGGACCCTCACCTTGCAAGCAGCTGATGGAGGTTCAATCCCAAAACCGCCTAGGGTCTCCTGAGACCTGCCAGGAGTGATCGCTGAGCACAGCGCCAGGAGTAAGCCCTGAGCAACTGGTTGTACTCAAAAGCAGACAAAAATATTACATAATATTATTTTTCTTTTGTACAGTTCTGTGAAGCTTACACAAGTAGGCATTTTGACAGCTACCACCTGAGGATACCCAAAATTCCCTTTTTATTCACACACCCTCCCCATCTGAACTAATGGCATCCACTGGGTTTGTCTTTGGGGGCTCTTGAGTAAAAGGGGCTTAAATGAGACTCCCCTCACGAGCAGTGTCTGGTATCTGAGGTGCATCCAGGCTGGTACCCGCACTCACCTCTTTCTCTTTTGCTCAAGTGGAGACAGCTATGCCCAAGTGAGCGAGCCGCGCGATCTGTTCAATATTTCAACATTTCTCCTTCAAATTCAATTTTCTTGTTTTTGGGGGAAGGTGGGCCTTGGATGAGCAGGGGGATCACACCCAACAGTGCTCAGGGGTTACATCGGGCTCTGCAGTGAGAAATTACTTCAGGCAGTGCTCGGGGGACCATATGGAATGGTGGAAATCAAACCCACCAAGGGAAAATACTTCCTTTTTCTTTCCAGCCTCGACAAATTCAGTTTTGTAAGGGGAAGGTAATGTTATACCCACTTTATAGACGGAGATCTGGAACTGGTGGAAATCACAAGCTCTGCTGTGGGCTAGGACTAACCCAGGTATGGAATAATCTGTGTATGTGTGTATGTGCGTGCGTGTGTGTGTGTGTGTGTGTGTGTGTGTGTGTGTGTGTGTACGTACTCTGGGCCACACCTGGCTATGCCCTGTATCACTCTTCAAAGGTCACAGGGGTGGGGCTGGAGCGATAGCATAACGAGTAGGGCATTTGCCTTGCAAGCAGTCACACGTGGCCGACCCAGGTTCGATTCCCACCAGCATCCCATATGGTCCCCTGAGCACCACCAGGAGTAACCCCTGAGCATCGCCAAATGTGACTCAAAAACAAACAAACAAAAAAACAGTCACAGGGGATCAGGGGTTGTGAGTCCAAGAAAGAACCTCATATGCGCAGTGACAGGCTGCACTTGAGCCAAACAAGCAGTAGGCCTAAGTTTCTGTATCCCCAAGTCGTAGGCTTCGAGTTCCCTGAGAATTCCCTTGGCTGAAGCTGGAAATCCCCTAAACAGTCCTATGATAAGTAGGAGATCTCTGGAAACAGCAGGTGGGCATGACCACAGACTTGTGACTGCTTCGTTGCAATTCTTGGGAAAACCACCTACTTTGCTAATATAACCTGTATGTGATACGCCATTCTCTGGAACCTGGGTCGGGGTCCTTGTCAAGACTCCACTGCGTTGGATGAGGCTTGGACCCTAGCTGGAGCTGGCAATAAAGGTTCCTTTGCTTTTGCATTCTCATTTGTGGAACTGGTGTCTCTGTGAATGAGAAACTCAGAACCCAGGTGTAACAGGGTGGCACCAGGGGCTAAAGCCGGGTCAGCTCTGTGCAAGGCAAGTCCCGACTGTACAATAGCTCTGGTCCCTCAAAACCATCTCGAAAGCCTCTTCCCAGGCAACAGGACAAGGAGACAGAACTTCCAGGCTGGATTCTTGGGGAAAAGACCTGTGAACCCCTGGTATTTCCCAGAAATGTTTCTGATCTCATTCAAGCAGCTCCCGGGGGGAATAACTCCATCACTACAACACAGGCTGCGAGCCAGCCCCAAATGAACTCAGTCACAGCCATCTTAACTGTAATCCATTTATTGTGGCCAAGTTCCTTCTGCTCCCATTTGGTCACCGGAGTGGGCAAACTACCGCCATCATGATTGGAGATTCCAGTTTTATTTTGAGTTTTATTGGGAAGCCAGACCCTGTGGTGCTTCAGGACATTCATGGGGATTATTTCCTGCAGATGGGGTGGAATGGAGTGCGTGTGTGTGTGTGTGTGTGTGTGTGTGTGTGTGTGATGTAGGGTGGGGGTTCAAGCAGGCTTCCTCCTGTGAAGTAATCCCTCTAGCCCTTAGAGTTATCTCTCTGGACCCTTATTTTATATTAATTAAAATTTTTTACGTGTTTTTAAGATTAGCATCTATTGGGAAAGGAGTGATTGTACCAGTGGGTAGAGCATTTGCCTTGCATGCAGCTGACCCAGGTTCCAGCCCCGGCATCCCATAGGGTCCCCCAGGAATAAGGCCTGAGTGCAGAGCCAGAAGTAACCCCTGAGCATTGCCAGGTGTGGCCCACCCCCAAAAAATAAAAAACCCAAAATAAATAAAATCAGCATGTTTGTTATTAATTTAATGTTACTTAAGATTTTGTTTTTAATTTTAATAAACATACAATTTTATGTTAATAAAAATTTGGTTTTGGTGTGGGGGGGCACATCCCCCCGGTACTCAGGAGTGACTCCCTGCCCTGGCCCTGGCCCTTACTCAGGATGGAATGCCCGCCTGGCCTGATGATGAGGTGCATCACCCCTGTCCTTTCAGAGAGCTCCCCAACTTTCAACATTTGGTAACTTTTTTTTTTTTTTTGCTTTTTGGGTCACACCTGGCAATGCACAGGAGTTACTCCTGGCTCTGCACTCAGGAATTACATCTGGCGGCGCTCAGGGGACCATATGGGATGCTGGGAACCGAACCCGGGTTGGCCTTGAGCAAGGCAAAGCCTTGTACTGTTGCTCCAGCCCCAACATTTGGTAACTTTTTTGGCTCACACCCAGCTGTGCTCAGGGATCACTCCTGCCTGGACCCCGGGATTTGAAACCATGTAACCGGGAACCATCTCACCAGCATCCCATGCAAAAGGAGCGCTCAGCACTTACTCCTCCTTGGAGGACTCTTGGGGTGCTGGGGATCAAACCCAGCTTGACCAAGTGCAAGCAGATTCCTGAATTCCCGTGCTATCTCTTTGAACCCTTTATGTTATTTTTTGGGTATTTTTTTGTTGTTGGTGGTGGTACTTTTTTTTTTCTTTTTTTGGTTTGAGATCACACCCAGAGATGCTCAGGACTTCTCCTGACTGTGTGCTCAGGAATCACTCCTGGCAGGGCCTAGGACCCTATGAGATCTTGGGGGTGGGGATTGACCCAGGGTGACTTCTTTCAGGGCAAGCGGCCGACCCGCTGTGCTATTGCTCCAACCTCTCCACCCCTATATTAACCTTTATTTTAGGTTGCATCTGGTGGTGCTTAGAAGCTGCTGCCGATTTGGTGCTCAGCAGTCACTCCCAGTTTTGTTTGGGGGGGCCGTGGGGTATCAGGGATAAACCGAGCCCTTTGAACTCTGTCCCCAGACCTTATTGCATTATTCTGTGTTTTATTTTACTCTTTTATTGATTTCCATTTTAGTGTAATTTGATCTTATTTTACTAACGTGATATCATTGTTAAATTTCAATTTTTTTTTTTACTTTTTGGCTTTTTGGGTCACACCCAGTGATGCACAGGGGTTACTCCTGGCTCTGCACTCAGGAATTACACCCAGCAGTAGCTCAGGGGACCCTATTGGATGCTGGGAATCAAACCCGGGTCGGCCGCGTGCAAGGCAAACGCCCCACCTGCTGTGCTATCACTCCAGCCCTGTCATTGTTAAATTTTAATTTAAGTAGTTTACTGTGATAGAGCCATTTA